TAATAAAAGGCCACTGCACAATAAATAAGGTCTTCTTATAAATGGAAACAGGTTAGATTTAGATGAACTGTAAACGCAAGGAATTCAAGTTATCAAATATTCTATTAGTGTAATAGCGGATGTCATCAAATCTAATAAGAGTCACCATTTCACAACACAACAGCTTGATAAACCATCTTGATATTCTTGATAAACATTGTAAGGCTAGGAATGGTAAAAAGATGAGTAGGCTTAAAAGACTTTAACAATTTAGTTTCATAACTGGGCAAATGCTATCACTTTATTATCAGAGAGTAAGTTAAAGGGTAACAGATGACTGGTTTCCCTCAACGTTGGTGGCACTTTGCCGAGGCACTGTTCGATTCATTCACTCTTTCCTTTCAATCCTACTCTCCAACCTTCTTTGTCTCTTACTCCCCAATGTTCTTCAATGCCCAGAGTTTGCCCTGGGTCAGCCACTGTTCTCCACAATGTTATACAGATGAGTGTTTCTGCTCACGGTTTGCATAGACTTGATGCTTCTCTTAAGAGGTGACTCAAGGCCCAAAAAGGGAAACAGCAAACTAATACTTCACAAAGGTTTTCTCTCTCCTAGTGCTCCATTACCTGTGGCAAAGGAATGCAGTCCCGTGTCATCCAGTGCATGCATAAGATCACAGGAAGACACGGAAATGAATGCTTTTCTTCAGAAAAGCCTGCAGCGTACAGGCCGTGTCACCTTCAGCCCTGTAACGAGAAGATTAATGTAAATACCATAACATCACCCAGACTGGGTAAGCAGATCACAAGGTTTTTGGAAACAGAAATGCTTCTATTTTGCATATTACTTTAATGCTTAAAATTTTAAAACTGTGCTGATTAGCTTTGTTCAAAGTTGGCAGTACTTAAACATACTTTAGTGTAAATGAACAGGTAGGTTTAAAAACAAAGTCATAAAGACTAACTACTTTCATTCCATAAAGTATCTACTCAGAGCCAGGTCTAGGAAATGCTGATACCGCACTATCTGAAGTCACCTTGTAAAAGATGCAACTGAGTTTTAGCTTTGGGCCAGTCCCATGGCAGAGCTGTCAATTATATTGCTATCTACAGAAAAGGGAACTTGTAGTATAAACCTTAGATTGCCCCATGGTTTATTCCTTCCTTATGGTCCTAGATGCAAATTATCTCTTGGAAATACAGAATAAAGGTGGTTTACAATAAAGGTGGTGGTGCACACCTTTAATCCCAGCACTCAGGAGGCAGAGGCAGGTGGATCTCTGTGAGATAGAGGCCAGTCTGGTCTACATAGTGAGTTCCAGGCCAGCTAGGGCTACAGACAGACCCTGTCTCAAAACAGCAAAGCAACAACGACTTTCAGTAACAATAAGTCTGTAGCTCTACTCAACCAAATAAGCGGTAGCTTTTCTCATCTTTGAGGATATAATAAATTTACAAATACTAGCAATATTGGTTTCTTTTTATGCTTTTGTTTTTTTAAAAATCTGCATGAATGTAAGTATGCCCATGTGGTGCAATGCCCATGGAGGTCAGAAGAAAGTGTGGAATGGAATTCCCCTGGAACTGGAGGTATGGATGGTTGTTAGCTGCCATTGGGTTCTGGAAATCAAACCCGGGTCCTCTGTAAGAGCAGTCATTGCTCTTAACTGCTGAGTCATCTCTCCAGCCCCTGGTTTATTTTTTAATTTGCACAGAAATAACAGGTTTTCTGACAGCATTCTCATACGTAGATAGCTTTGGAGTCTCTGTCCATGCCTTTCCTTCACCCCACCTTCCTGCCACCCATGCCCACTGTACTCTTCCATCCCCAGTAACCCCTCCCTTGCAGTTTCATAGCACCTGGGTTCTACTACCCGTGCCATACCCATCCCTGAAAGTTTCTTTTTCTCATATCATGGGCTTCTTTCTAGTTTATTTTATTTTTATTTATTACTTTTATTTTATGTGTATGAGTAAAGTTTTGCCTACATGTATGTGAGTGCACCAAGTCCATGCAGTACCCACAAAGGCCAGAAAGAAGGTCTCAGATCCTCTGGAACTGAAGTTATGGCAGTTTTTAACCTCCATGCAGGTGCTGGGAACTGAACCCAGGTCCTCTGCAAAAACAGCTAGGGCTCTTTACCACTGAGCCATCTTACCAGCCTCATCTAGTTTCTTGTCCTCTGCTCACATTTTCTTCCACATAAATACACATGTATAACCAATCTATGATCCACATATGAGAGAGAGAATAGCTGGTATTTGTTACTAGCAATATTTGATATTTGTAGTTTTATGCTATGAAATGTTTTCAGATTTATTCTCCATTCTTGTTATTTAATCTAATTTACCATCAAGAAGTAGGGTGTGTGTTTCAAATACCTGTAACCTACACTTGCATAACAAACACTAATAATTGAATTATCCTTTTTGACAGCATTTCTATCTGGCACTCAGTGGCCTAACTTTATAACAACCTGAGTTTTCACCTGTGCATAGAACTTCCAGACAATCTAAATCCTGCAGAGTAACTGCCAAAATACAAGGAGCTAAGTTACCACATGTACTTTAGTTACATAAGCATAAAATCCAATGAAACGGCGAAGTTAGGTTCTTTGTGGCATACTGCAACTCCCCTTTTTGTGCCAAATGAGAAACATTTCTATGAAATAATCATTAAAAGAGACTAAGACTAATTAAAGCAAATGTTAAACAATCCTAAAACAGATGCCTCAGTGCAGGCTTTCAATAAAAGGAAATCTCTTTTGCTAACAACCATGTGGAATCCTATTCAGGAGAAAAGCCCTGGAGTAAAGGAAGAATTTTGTTGCTTTTCTGTTGCTGTGATAAAATACCACAACCAAAATCAAGTTAGGGAAGAAAGGGTTTATGTTGGACTATCTTTCCAAAGGAGATGCAGTCAGGCATAGCTGGGAAGGCATGGTGGCCCAGCTCTGAGTCTGGTGGATCACATTTCATCCATACACAGGAAGCAGAGAACAGGAAGTGGAGCCAGGCTACAAAACTTCAAAGCCTGCCCACCCCACCTTGATGAACTTCCTCCACAAGATTCCACATCCCAAATGTTCCCTAACATTCTCAGACAGTGCCACCAACTGGTGAGCAACTGTTCAGATAAATGAGCCTCTAAGAAAGATTTCTTATTCAAACCATAGCAGAGCTGTACCCCCCCCCCAAAAAAAAGCTCCATGGTTGGAAACTGAGTTTTATAAATTAAAATAATGAACAGAATTTGAATAGTCACAGAAGAAAAAACTGCAGCAAAACTGAATTTCATCATCAATGCTAGAACACACTACCTTCTGACAACCTGAAGCCAAATGTCTAGTACTAAATTTTCTATATAAGATTTTTATTTCAAACACAATTTTTAAGGCAATGTAAATATTGCAGTCACCTGTGAAAATCAGCTTTTATATTAAAATGGCCAAGAATCAGCCTTTCCATATAGTCTACCTCTCCATTTGCTATATAGCACTAGGGGTGTAAAGTAGGAATGGACATAGTTTCATTGTTCTATTTCATTGCAGCTTTACTCAAAGAAATGCTTATTAATATGTGCTCCCATACTGGTGAATATACTAAGCTATGTAAGGTGTTTCACATCTGTGTTCCCAGCATTTGGGAGGATAAAGCAGCAGGATGACCATGGATTCGTGGTCAGTCTTGGTTACATAGTGAATTCCAGACTAACTTGAGCTACAGGGTAATAACCTGTTTAAAAAGCAAATAAATAATTATTTGTAAACATACACATTCAGAAGGGAGGAGAGGGTATGTTTATTTTTTACTCTTAATCTCCTCACTAAAACCCAAGAAAAACTTAAATGAAATACATAAAATTGTAGCATGGAGCTAGGCATGATTGCATGCATTCTAATTCCAGCACTCAGGAGGTTGAAGCAGGAAGACTGTTAGTTCAAGGCCAGCCTGGGAATTTATATACCAAGACTTAATGATTGATTGATTTAAATATGAAGCCTTAATGATTGATTGAGGATTGATTGATTGATTGATTGATGACAGACAGATGATAGATTGATGGTTAATCTTGATTGAGGATTGATTGATTGATTGATTGATTGATTGATTGATTGATTGATGACAGACAGATGATAGATTGATGGTTAATCTGTATTGCCAGCTTGATGCTTGGTAAGTTCTAGAATCACCTGAATGACAGATGGGCCTCTGAGAATGCCTGCTGGGGATTATTTTGATTAGGTTAATTGAGGTGGGGTGACTTTCCCACTGTGGGTGGCACCATTCCCTGGGAAGAGATTCTGAACTGTGTAAGAAGGAGAAAGCGAGCTTAGCAGTGTCCATCACTCTCTGCTTCCTGACTGTGGATGCGATGTGACCATCTGCTCAAATTCCTACTGCTGTAACTTCCCACCAGGATGGATTATAACCCAAAACTGTGAACCAAAATAAATCCTTTCCCCATTAAATTTCTTTTGTCAGGGTATTTTATCAGAGCAATAGGAAAAACAGCTAATACTGTTGATACATAAATACAGTTGGAACATAGGAACATTTTAAGCTTACTAACAGATTGTTCACAATGTGCAGTCCAATGTCTAAATGTTCCTAAGCAAAAGCGTTAGTCCTTCACTTTACTTCCTTGCTATAGAGTGAGTGTATCTTTGTGAGTTTCACAATGTAATATGAAAATGAGTCACATCAGCCCCACTAAAAAAACTGGAATTTGTTCCTGCCAAGGGTATCTATGATACTTCACATAGTGAATTCATGACATTTTTTCCCAGCTGCTCTGACTTTCAAGTGCCTGGGAGATCAGTGGCCGGTGTACTGCAGAGTGATACGGGAGAAGAACCTTTGCCAGGACATGCGATGGTACCAGCGCTGCTGTGAGACTTGCAGGGACTTCTATGCCCAGAAGCTGCAGCGGAAGAGTTGACCCCCGGCGGTGGCCACCTGGCTCACACCTCTTTGCAATCACCTTATTTATAAACACACACGCTAGCATGTTTTTCAGACCAAATAGTATCAGATTACTTATAATTTAATCAAATTAATTTATTTTTGCCTGCCAGACATCTAATGTGGTGTTTGTTTTAGTTATACAAACATTTTGAATTATACTATAAGGCTTCATAAATAATTTTATATGAATGAATAATTTGGATCTAGTAATCTAATAAAAAGGAAAAGATGATAAAATGGTTTTTCAGTTAGGGCTGTCTCTAAGGTGCTATTTTCTCCCCACAAATACCATTGAATGATCTAGTACATACACTACCTTAACATGATGATTTAGCTATACATGCAGAAAGCATCTTCTTGTGTCCTGCTGCAGAAATGCCCCCATTTTCTGTAATCTGTAGGAGATGTGCAAACATAACAAACCTCATAGTCTTGAAAAGGCTTAAAAGAATGTATTGATGAATTGGATACAGATTTAGAGACAACTATAGGAAAAATTCTACTGTAATGATAATTTTATATTACTAATGGAAAAGTCAAAACGGACTTTGATCATGTTCATGAACATGTACTTGAACACAAGTGTTGTAACAATGAAACACTGTAATAATTTACACTGAATCACATTGCACTGTTGGCATAGTGGAGAGACGCTGTTATAAGAAGGCAATGTCCTACAAAAATGTGTATTATTTTAACATGTTATTAGAGTTTTAGCTTTTTTTAAATATGTCAAACAAAGAAAACATTGATCTACCCATTTCCTTACATCTTTTTAACAGATTTGTGAAAGAGTATAGTACTTAGATTTGCAAATCATGAGAAAAATGTATTAAATATTTTTCATTCTTTTCCCTAGGAATAAAAAAATGAAAACAAGGTTCATTTTGGTAGTTTCATTGTGTTTATCCTTTTAAAAATTAAAACATAATTCTGTGACACATTCAAAATCTGTCTGAAATTTTTTTCCTGAAAGAAAATAATGTACATGATTCACATTATTTCTTCTAGTTTTTCAATAAAACATGTGAAACTTCCTTGGGGAGACAGTTCTTCATAGCAAGCAAGCAGTTCGCATTTGCCAGGAGAGAGGCCCTGTCTGCTTCTTTTCTGAAGTATCTACTGAAGGAAGCTTGGACAGCAGGGCACCAAGGAGAAAGACAGTCTCGAAACAAGAGAAACAAATGCATGCTTCTTGTTCCCCAATCCACCACATGCGCATGTACCAGCCAGCCCTCTTAAGTTACCTGGTATGCACTGTGGCTTAGAGAGTCAGTGTATGAGAATGTGGGTCCTCGGGCCACCGAGATTCTATTGAATCCTTTCTCTAACCCAGGCGTCTTCTGTCTTTCACCCTAAAATTATGCAAAGTGAACTTGGCAGGTTGTAAGTAGGATAAACCCTCAAAACTTTCGCAGTACTTGATACATCCCTCATTGACATTTTCACAACTTCATTTTAATAAATTTGTTATAATGATATAATGATTGTTCATAGGTATTTTTAAAAGGTAAATCTTTAGTTGCTGACATACAAGATTAACAAATACCCACACATTTTATAAAAGTGGTTAACAGGAAAAGGAATAATTGAAATACTAAGAGGATACATTCTCAACTCTGTCACTTGATTTCTGAATCTCTGACTTTCAGGAGAAATAGCACCATATAATGGCCAGTGATTCAGTATGTGCACAGTAACTAAGAGCTAAAATATCAGTACCTTGGGCCTCCAAAATCTTTTCACTCACCCTGTGCAAGAACTGAAGCTGTTTTAGAAGACTGTGATTTTGTTAGGTCATCTGTTTTAGCGCCATGGAGAACATAGTAAGAGATTTGCATTAGCCCATCCCACTTTTTATTTTCTATTAAGCCAGTGCTCTGAACGGAAACTATATCATGTGGCGCACCAGAACAGTGGAGACATTTGTTCAATCAACAGAGATTTTGACAGAAGTGCTGCAGGACAAGGTGGAAAGCCGTGTTCTGAGTCTGTGAGAACAAACCTCAGCCTCTTTTGTGGGAGAAGCAGTCTAAAAGCACCAACTTGCAGTCATGATGGGCTGGTCATACTACAGAATGCCACTATACTGGGGACAAGATCTTTCTGCTCTTGCTAGGCTGAGGTCCAGCAGGGACTGGCTAAGTCAGTCCATGTTGCCAAGCTCATGCCCAACTTTAATCCCTGCTACTGAGTTCTCTTTGCTTATGAGTCCATCGTTCAAACATTAAGTGCACAATGTCTTCAGGTCATGGCATCTTATCTACCTGTGAGCTCTTGTCCTCTCCCGAGGCTGCTCTTTAGTAAGAAATCAGATGGAATATCAACATATAAGCTATTAACAGAGGTCTTCCACAAGATTACATAGGACTCCCCCACGCCCTGATTTTTTATTCTAGTACTGGTGATGAGTCAAGGGCCCTGTTCATGCTAGGCAATTGCTCTTTCATTATTAAGCTACATCCCCAGGCTTCAAAAGCTTTTTTATCACTTAGACTCAAATTGTTCTGCATCTAAGTCTCTACCATACAGCCAAACCATTAGTTACAGTTGATCACCTACTGCATATCAACTCTGAAACTATCTTTCTCTCAACATGAATAGCCAGGTGCAAATTCTTCTGGAAGTATTTTCCTAAGGATTCTTGTTCAGTCAGCATATATGGGGTTTTAGCAGTGTGGCGCCCTTCTCTCCTGGTGCTAGGATATTTTAAAGAACCATTAGGAAACCAGGCTCTAAAGTTTCATGTCTCAGTTAATTAGTCATAAGAAATGATTATGACATCTTGACTATAATGCCATTGAAAAGTGTTTTCTTGGTCATGGATAGGTTTTCTCCTTAATGCCCCAAATATTTAGATGTTTGCTTTTTTTTTTTTTCTAAGTTTTAAAACTGTTCTGCTACAACTTCATTGAATAAATTGTTTATGCCTTTACATTTGATCTCAGCTCCTTCTGCTCTATCAGATTTTAGGTTTGGTCTCTTGAATGTATCCCAGAGGTCTTAGAAATTTGAACATGGTCATTAGACTTTTTTTCTTTACTTATGTCTGAATGTATTATTTTCTTGATTTTGGTAACCATCTCTGAGATTTGTTCTGCTTGATCCTAAAATTAAACCTATTACTTTGTAGACTAAAACCTAATAAAGCATAAAGTATGAGACAAAAGAGAAGAAAAGGAATGCTCCATGAGACTTTATTTAGGTGGAGTTGACGGGAAAGAGGCAATGAAGCCATAGTGGGACCCTCCCACAGGGAGAGCTAGTTGCTCAGGAGCAGTTTATGCCTTCAAAACATTATTAAGATTGATCTTACGACTTGGTAAGGTGAGTAATGTTTTGATCAGGCAATCTGCGCATAGGCTTATTGAATCAGACATCATCAAACTTACAAAGAGCAGTCCAAGTGACCCATGGCCAAGCAATAAGCTTTGACTACCACCTAGAAACAAGCCAGAAACTGCTTGAGAGCAAAAATAATTATTTGTAGAGAATGCACAACTTTGCTCCCAAACCCCAAAAAGAGATTTCACTTTAACTAATAGAAGTCTACCAAAGGCTCTGAGTGCCGTCCCCAAAGGCTCTGTGTGTCATCCTTTGGTGCCAGTAACTCTTCAAGTGCTATCTTATCACCTGTGCCATAGAGCCAACCTGACAACAGCTTCAGCTGCAGCCTGGACTGACTGAAGACTCTTCTCTTGTTCTGATTACTCCACAGAGTTGAGAGTCTTTGGGGTACTCATTAATAGATCAGAAAGCAGCATCCTTAACAAAGGTACAAATTACCACAGCAGCCAAAACAGACTGTATGTCTTTTACTTAGGAAGAACCACACACATAGGTGTATGGCTGTGAGGGATAATATTGTCAGCTTGCTGGCTTTAGAATCTCCTAGGAGACAAACCTCTGGGCATATTTGCGAGGAAGTTTCTAGACTGGATTAATTGAGGTGAAAAGACTCAGTGTAAATGTGGGCAACACCAGTCATGGAATCCAACACCAAACTTGGAATCTAGACTGAAGGCTGTTAAGCATCAACCTTTGTCTCCGCTTCCTGACTGCCTATGCAATGTGACCAGCTACCTCAGGTCCTGCCACCATGCTGTATCCTCTGTGAAAGATTGTACCCTCAAACTGTGACCCAAAATAAATCTTTCCTTATGATACTTTAGTCTGTTTTGGCTCTTCTTTAACACAGCAATAAGAAAAATAATATAGAAAATTGGTACTTAGAAATAAGGAGGTTGATCTGCCTGTGGTTCTTTGGCATTTGAACCTGGTTTTCAGGAAGAATGTGTAAGAGTTTGTAACCTTGGGATACAAAAGCTCTAGAATGCTGTGAGCACAGCTTAACAGACCATTCTGGTGTAAGACAAGAACCACAAAAGAAACATGGACATGGTAGGCCCGGCTCACGAGGTCTCAAAAAGGAATAAAATTCTATCAGGGACTAGACTAGAAGTCAGTTGTGTTATATATATTCTGGCAAAGAATCTGGCTGCATTCTGACCTTACCCTGAGAACATAATTGAGGCAGAATTCAAAAGTAAAGGACCAAGTACTGAGCTGAGCAAATCTCTAGGAAGGATAGCATTCAGGCTGTGTCATGGTTGCTACTCACTTCTCTGCAGTGAAGGAGAGAACAAATGGAACAAAAGACAGGAGAAATGTGCCATTTGATAGGGAAAGGAGCGTTTAAACCTACAGACAAGGAGGGCACGAAGAAAGCATCTGTAGCACCATTTAAGAGAAACTCCCTTCTCTACACTTGAGATAACAGGAAAGGTGCTTGAGGACAAGACATCACCCATCAAAGGCCCATCTTGTGAAAACACAAAGTCATTTCAAAGGAGAGAATCTAAACTGAGAATACCACTGAAGGAGTGTCCTGTTTAGAAACAACCACCCATGGTAAGCTTGGAAGGCACACAGAGGCCAATGCACCTGTGATCTGAAAGGGCCAGGCTCCACCCCAAGCTGACAGCAGAACTTGTCAGTGCTCTCCACGTGGTTCTGGTTTTGCAGGCATGGAAGACATACTAAGGAAGTCATGGAGCCTTGCACCAAGGTTCCAGGAAGCTGCTGAGGCAAGGTACTATGTGGCAGGCTTGAAGTCTCTACAAAAAGGCTCTGACAGGCCATTGTGTGAAGCTGTGAAGGTAAGCCTAAGTTGCCATGGAAACTCCAAGATGCTGGTGATGCCAGAACCATAGGGCATCAACATCGGTCAAGAAAGGAAGCAGGCATGGAGTGGAGTCAGCCCTAGAGAGAGACTGTGTTTGCTACAGAGAGCAGAGCTAGAGAAGTGAAGCTACCCAAGCCCATGGAAGTAGAGATTATTCCAACAGGAGCCACAGATGCCAGACATGTACCTGCAGGATTTAGTGTTTACCTTGCTGGATTTCAACTGCATTGGTCCAATCTTTTCTCAGTAGGATCCCATTCTTCTCTTTCAGAATGGGAATGTTTATTTCATGCCTTTACCTGTTGGAAGTAGGCAACTTCACTTTTGATTGTATGAGGGTGGAAGGGGATCAAAGTCAAGAGATTGCCTAGAGTCCAAAAGATTTTGAAATTGTCAACAGAGTTGGGGTGTTTGAAGACTACAAGGGCTGTTCAGAGATGGACTAAATGAGCTTT